GTGTGGGTGTGTGGGTGTGTGTGTGTGTGTGTGTGTGTGTGTGTGTGTGTGTGTGTGTGTGTGTGTGTGTTAATAATAACTTTTTTAGAATATCTAAGTGCTTGAGAGCAGCCACTTATATTGAGGGAGGAGGTTATGCTTTCCCATTGGGCTCATGACCAAACCCTAATCTAGTAGAGATAAAAGAAAAACAATCTTTAAGGAAAAATAATAATTAAAAATACATAAAAACTAAAAAAAAAACATTCTCTATAAGAAAAGAAAATCATGTCTGTAAATGTTAAAAATGAAAATAATTCTGATTGTTATTTTGCAGTAAAGAGAGGAGAGAAAGATGGAAGAGTTGTTGAAGTTGTTTGCATGAATTTTCTGATAATTTCTTGTTAATGAATGTTGTCAAGGGCAGAACCAACCTCTTTCTTGGATAAATATATTATAAAAATAAATTAAAAAAAAATAGCTCATAATCCAAAATTAAAATGTGAATTTTCTTATCTTTGATAAATTAAATAATATTAAAAGCATATTAATCTCTATTGCATTTTTTTATAAATTTAAAAAATGATTCCATGTTTCAAGTTAAATATTCATATTAAATATGATTTCATAAAAGTCTAACTTCAATATGAAACTCAAAAAAATTATTAAAAAACCTAATAAATAAATGTATGCAAAAGAAATAATAAATAAATTTACACATTGAGACTAATTATAATTTTATCTCATTTTTTTTATTTTCTATTTTGCTTAGCTCAAATAAAAGATAAGTTTAAAAATTTTTAATACAAATATATATTAGGAATATAAAAAAAATGAATTTAATTTTCTTTTTTAAATATAGGGGCATTTTACATGCATACCACCCAATTCTTATGTATTTACATATGTAACATATAAACTTCACTGTTTTAAGTTATACCACCCAAAATTTTCATATCATATCAAAATTATCATTATTTTAATAATTTTGATGACACTATTTTAATTTTCAAAAAGTACAATATATTTTTTTATTCATCAGTAAAGTATGTGTGTAAAATTTGAAATTTAGATGTTAGATATGTAAATACATAGGAATTGAGTGGTATGTATGTAAATTTCGCAACAACTTTTTTTCCTGGGAAGATATTGTTGCCGCTTAAGGGTGTGTTTGGGGCAGTTGTAACTTATCTGCTGATAAGCTAGATGCGGTAACTATTACAAATTTTTATTTTTTTGGAAAAGCAAGACTGCAGCCAGAAAGCTGTCACCGCGCCTAGACACTTGCAGTGTGAAAACACTGTTTTCAGCATTTTGAAAACGCATAAGCTGCCAAAATATAGTTTACCAAAACAGCTCATGTGCGTTTTAAAACGTCGCTGTACCAAATAAGCTGCCCTAAACAGACCATTAAATTAAAAAATATCTGACCTTGGGCATTAGCAAAGCCTGTGGTTGTGCTTCCTATTGGCTATATTTAAGATAGCTTAAAGAAATAATAAATCTTTTTAAAAAGAAACTAAAATTTTTAAATCAGCAATTTAACATTTATGTATACTTAATTACCATCCAAGAGCATTTTTAATTCAATATTTAATAAATTAAAAGGTTAAATGACAGGTCAAATGGAGAACATAGGGCAAAGTAATTGTCAGAAAGTAAATAAGCAAAATAATAAATAAAATTTTAGAAAATTACAAATATGACTTTTCTACAAATGTGTTTTTTCTGGAATTTTGTGAATTTAAATTTTCCTAATGGTTTACATGCAAAGAATAAAAATAAAAGAGTGGGCTGGGTTGAGGGGGAGATGATTTTCATACATATAGCTAATATATATATATATATATGTCCGCATGTGTGTCTCTTACCGTGATTTTTGGTTGCAAATTTAATAAATCCCTTAGGATCACAAATTCGATCCCCCCTACAGAATTTCTAATAACATCGGACCAATCTTTTTAATAATATATATATATATGTATGTATGTATATATATAATGTATGTATATATATATACATACATACATACAAATATATTTATATATGACACATATTATTATGAATATACATATTTTACATCTAAATATTAATTATTAAAAAAATAATTTAATATTATAAACACATTTAAATTTATGTATACAAAATGTATTTCACATACAAATTAATATTCATAATTTAAATATGATATTAACTATTTAAAATTATATAGATATGTATATATATATATATAATCTTTTCAAGTATTATTGCAATTTGTTTCCTCTTTTCTGATAAAAAAACAAACATTCCGATTTTGAATACGATATTATCGTGGTCATAAATGCAAGAAATGAAGAGCTAACTTCCCGCGCCATCGCGCACGACCAACAGGAGAAACGAGGTTTTTCTATTCTAATTCAGTTGCGAGTTTATTTACGAATGAGCGTCGAGGAGAAAAAGGGATGAGAAAGATGAGCGAGGAAGGTGAAGAGAAGAAGAGGGACGCGGTTGCCATTGGTCCACATTCTAAACCAAATCCAGACCACATCGGCTTCCCTATTCCGGCGACCCCTCTCGAAGTCGCCGGAACGTACCCTCCCGGTGCCTCCGCTGCATATCCTTACCCGGCGTCGGGCATCTATCCTATAGGCGCCGGCGCATCTTTGCCTCCTCCCGCCGTTCAAGTTCCTTACGCCACTGGTCTTCCATACTATAGTCAGGGATACGGGACCGACCCTGGTATTTTCCTTTCTTTCCTTCTTTCAAGTTTCGTTAAATTTTTTTGTCATCAAGCAGCAGATGGTTAATTTGTGGAATCGCTTTGAGTGGAATATAGTGAATTGGGGATTCATGCTTGGTTAATTTGGTTGAGTGCTGAGAAATGCTATAAATGATGGGCTAAAGTTTTCCTGAAATTAATGAAATTTCTATTTTGATCTTAGGCCCTTCTATTGCGAGAAAAACAGTTCGCAAGTGTTTCTATAGTTCATATATGTCATGATCAGGCCCGAGTATTAGAATTAATTAAGATAATAACAACGGTCGGATGCTATTAACATTTAACAATTATCCACAAAATTATAGAATCTTACAATATATAAAAAAGCCAC